AGATCAGATAACCAAGCACGAGCCACATGCACTCAGAGTTACTCACAGTTGTTTTCAGCTGGTTGTGGTTAGAAGATAGAGGTGTCATTCAAGGATTTTTAATTGAAAGACCTGAATTTTATTTATAGTATAAAGAATACTATATGAGACTAAAAAACGCACGTCTCTGTTGTGGAGTCTTACAGTTTGCCTGGAGCAGTGGGTATAGGCAGTTGCAGACGAGAGAAGTAGATTGCACACACGCATGTGCCTCTCCCACTCACTTTTTCCTTAAGTGCTAAGATATATGGAAAATCGGAGAACAAGAACTGTGACTAATATCATGTGCAAATCCCAATAACATTGTGTAAAGGTTTGGTTTTCTTTTCATATGTTCCTAAGATCAGACATAAAGGAACCTGCTGAAAAAAAAAAAAAAAAACACTCTTTTTCATTGATGGGAACACTTTGTTATTTTAGTGGTTTGAGTGGACCGAGGTAACCTCAGCATCTCCGCCCACTGAAAAATATTTTCGAGAGCCCAGCTCATGATTTAACTCTGATCATATTTTAAATACTACCCTGAATGTCAAGTAATGGACTTGTTTTGCTTTCCAGATCGGATCTGGTCGCTTGGTAACTGTGGAGAGCACGCCTCAGCACTTAGTTGGAGGGCCACTGGCTGATACAGACCTCGCTCTTAGAAAGCTCTCTATTCATGGAGGAGCCTTAAAAAAGATCAAAAGAGTTAGAATGTTGGACTCGTACAAGAAAAACTCGATATCTGTAAAATAGCCACTATTCTGGACAGTGCTTTTAGCTTTTTTTAGTTAGCATTATGTGTATTTCAGGTACAAGGTCTAATCTGTTTGTAATGCCTTAATAAATTGCATAGGTGTTCCTAAAACTATTTTTTTTGTCTTACACTAATGTAAACATAGTGATAGCTTATCAATAAAACATTTCACATGGTGTGGTACCACTGAGTCTGATTATTTTGTGTGTTACTGTCAGGGTAACGGTGTGTGACCCTAATTCACTATCAGAAAATCTATTTGGGTCTCCCTCTTCTGTTGACAAAAGTAACGCTCTCCACACATTGCAGCTTAGGTATCTCCTCCTTTGAGCAGCCTGATGAACCTTCCCATAAATACACTCAGTTTCTTCTTTGGATACCGGGCCCACGCGGTGCTTATCCTTGTCCATGTTGTTTCTTGGTGCCTTTCGCATCAGGATTTCTGAATCCTGTCCTCTCCGCTTGCAGCGAAGGGCTCACGGAGAAGCTGGTTTGTGCCAGCACTTTCTGTCACCCTCTTGTGGGGACCTGCTAAAACATCCTGCTTTTCATGGATTGCTCCCAGCTCTAACTAGTTTTGCTATTCTAGTTATTGAATGGGTTATTGCCCGTGTTCTCTCTGATAAAAACGCTGCAGCAGCCCTTTTTGTTGGTGACTGTTTCTAAGTTGTCTCCTTCCCTAACCAGGGCATAGCCAGAATTCAGTGAGAGATGCAAAGATAGAGCAAGATTTTTCCTGTAGCAGTGAACCCCAGCTGGGACCTCACGAAAGGCTAAACTGCAGTGGGCACCCAACAACCTGACTGCCAAGAGAAGAGCAGGTTTGTAAAATCTCCCTTCTTACCATAATGCAATAATCTTTCTTGCAAATAACATATTAATGGACAAAAATATGAAAATGACTATTACTCAGTCGCTGTTGAGTAGAAAAATATTTTAATTAATATTTAGCCTATATTTAGCCAATATTTAGTTTAGACCACACAGGACATTACAACAAGCACAATTGTTTTCTTTAGCTCAGTGTTGCACTACTTCAATTGCTCAACATAAAACTGATCATAGGGGCAAGTCATTGTACAAAGGTGCTTGCTGACGTTGTCTCTATTGCAATGTATAAAAATGTATTGGGTTTTCATCAAAGTTAAGGCTAAGCAGTGATATAATTACAAAGTTTAGACCACATAGGACATTACAACAAGCGCAATCGTTTTCTTTAGCTCAGTGTTGAATTTCTGCAATTGCCCAGCGTAAATAGGGGCAAGTCATTGTACAAAGGTGCTTGCTGACGTTGTCTCTATTGCAATGTATAAAAATGTATTGGGTTTTCATCAAAGTTAACTTCTAAAAAAAGAACTTTTGGAATAGATGAGCCTCTATAACAATAGAGCGCCGCTTCAAGCGGCTTACCCAAGAGCACAAGGGTAGTTAGGCAGAAGTTCACGCTGCGCCTGCGTGCTCCCTTTTGGTTTCGCCTTGCTGAAGTATCTTAATTTTTCTCCCCTTTTGGCCTAAAATGGGTTGGTGAAACCTGACCCCGAAAGACTGGGAGAAAGAGCTAGTTATTTTCAAAGCAGTAAGTTTAGGAAGGCTAGGAATGCAGGAGCTCCCCATTCACTCTGGAAACCTAGAACTCTTGAGCAGGTACGTCAGGAAAAAACCGTACTGTGTTAGGCTGGCCCTGGGGAGGCTTCTGCAGGCAGGAGGAAGGAAGCCAACAGGTCTAGGATTGGCTACTAAAGTAGAAAAGCACCTGTGTGATTTCAGTTCACATTCCTCCCAGACCAGGACAGCCAGAGTTTGTCACTGGTGGTTAACAAGGACCGTGAACTCGCATTATGTGTCAATAGTTTTCACAGGAAGGAAGTGCATCCAAGTGCTCGGGGACTCGAACGTCCTTGCTCACATACAGGTATTCCCCAAAATTAGGACTGAAACCAATTTACCAGGAAACTTCCAGTGTTGTAATGTCATTTATACGTATGCAGTGATAAACAGAGAACGGAGCATCCATTGATCCACACTCCCACATGCATACCTCTAATTTTTTACACTTTCTTAAACACAGAAATTTAGTAACCTTAAATGCTTTTGATTCAGGTAGTGTGAAAGCGGCTACCATTGAAAGATGCAAATACATTTGACAAGCAGAGACCAAAAACTAAGTGGTTAACATTGAATTATCTCAGCAATCAAAGCCAAGGATGGAACAGTGCTTCTGTTTAATGCAGTACAGAAATCATGTATTACAGTAACCTTCTAAAGGTCTCTAGGAGTAGTTTGCAAAATACTTGGGAGATATTAATTGTCTTCGGCCCATTCCATGCGACCTTGAGAGCACACAGTCTACGTACATATCCCAGAAGTTCTGGGCTAAATCATCGAAGAGTTCGTTGTGCTTGGGCTTGGGCGATTCCTTTAAGAACATCATGAAGTCCCAGAGAGCAATGACCGAATCTGCTACCTTGAGTTTCTTCATTTCCACCAGCTCGTGGGATGACACTTCCCAGCACTGGTGGTCAATCTGGCCCAGGCTGGAGGGGGTCTCCTTTTGAGAGTCCATATTGGCAAAAACTAGATTCAGCATCAACATACAGCCCAGCTGAAGATACCACCTTCTTCTCCATACAACTTCCATATTCCAAGCAGCTGCCTGAAAGAAAGTGTCTGAAATCACAGGGATTCTGTCAGTATGTAGTTAATTCTCATACAAGATTAAAGGATGCCCCCAGAGATGACTTATGCTTCGGGGTTCTTCATAATAAAACACTTTCAGGACAATATTTACTTTCAAACCATGGCATAAATACCAACCAATGAATCCTAGCAAAGGAACTAGGATTGCACCTAAAAAATTGTCAATGCTATTTCGAATGCAAAACCCTGAAGCCGAAAGTTTGATGCCCAACTGGTCATGGTCTATGGCAGAACTATTCCCAGAGCTCAAGGGTTCTCCCCTTCCTCTCTTGGGATTAGCCCACTAGTAAGCAAATTAATAGCTAATAGATGCTTAGAGAACCCCAGTGGTATATTCTCTTTAAAACAACTGCAAACAAGTAGCAGGTTCATAAATACCCAGTCTGTCATGGAATAGCCCTAGTCTGCACTGTGGAAATGAAAAGCATGAAGTGTTGCATAGTGCGGGGTGAATGTCAGCATTGTAGGAACTCATGCAGTAGCTGTTGCACAAATGGAAAAAAAAAAAAAGAGGAAGAAAAAAGACAAATTCTAGGTTTCCATGACATAATTAAGGAAACTTTTGGCATAAGTATTTCTATCTTAAAAGAAGGATCAAAATACTAACACCATCTGAAGAATTAGAGATGGAAAGACTATTAACACAAGAGGCACAGTGCAAGCTTCAAATGCTACAGAATATGTAGACACTATTGATTCCAGCTGGGAAAACTGCAGTTTTCCTATAATTCAGTTACAAATGCCCACAGCAAGTTTAGCCATCAGCTTTTTAAAATATCAGATATTTTTTTCTCAGTCCTTTCTGTCAGGGAAAAGAGGGAAAAGAGGAGAAAAAAAAGAGAACCGAATAGATGAAGGAGTCTGAAGAAAAAGCTGACACTGGAGACTCTCAGACACTAAGGCTAGTTGTGGTGTCCTAAAGCAAATGCAGGCTTGCAATGACTATGCCAAATAATTGGTGTCACACCTAGTTAAAAAGGACTATGAAATGATGTGAGGTGCTGTGCAGATACAAGGCAATGATTAGGGCAACTTGGTCTGAATTCCTGCGGTCTGGTTCCTGCCATCAGAACAAGTTTAGGAAGTGGCAATAACAAAAGTTCTCTCTGCAAGACAATCTCTCTGCAACTCCCAGTGAGGCAACTACAGAGAATAATCTGCAGATAATTCCAAACTCGTGTGAACTATGTGTAAGGAAATTGAGTGAAGGTGACACCATGGAGAGGGTCATACTGGATTGGGGCAGAAGCTAGAACAGGGTATCAGGCCCTTGCACTCAGGCCCCCGTGTTCTGGGGTGACTTTATCTTGAAGGCACCGCCACGACACTGCGGCCGTATGAGGTCCTGCAGCTCCGGGTTGGCTTTGCCCAGGCCTCGTAATTTAGCTTTGTGTCCTGGAGGAATGAGACACACAGACAGGTATCCACCAGTCTAATTCCCTTCTAAAAGCTTCCACACTAGCTACATTGCAGCACACAGTGGATATATCCTTGCAGCATCTTGGCATTTGCATTTAAGTTTCTCAGAATGTTTGATTTTCCATGGTTATTAGAAAGCTGTATTCAGTATACGAGCAGTGATGAAAGTGTTTCTTTCATTTCCACTCCATCAGGTACTGGCATTTCCAAAAACAATGTGCCAGCAGTTCACTACAAAGTAGTAAAACAGCAACTAGGAAGCCACCAAAATTTGGAGCAGTTTTGGTTTAATGTTTTAATCCAGCTAAAAACTAAGCTGATAAAGGCTTATTTGAACATCTCAAACGGGAGGAGAGACCACAACAACCCCAGAGACTTTGAACTAACAACCTCCCACTATTCAGTGCAAGACAGCAGAGTTTCACAAACCCGGCGAGCGCAGCGCAAGTTGTACTTACGGTGTTTCTGCGAGGAGAACAGGCGCTCTGCCCTTGAAACAGCAGTGATCGGCCGCTTGGAGAGGAGGACGGGAATCCCGGAGGGGGCTGCAGGTGTCCGGAGAGGTTGGGATGACGGAGCAGCGAGCCGGGGCTGGCAGCGCGGCGGCGGCGGCGGCATTAAGAGAGGTGGGTGAGCGCAGGCAGGGAGCTGTGGGGAGCCCCACCTCCCTCGCAGGGCCCCGCGGCCAGCCCCCAGCCCCCTCTCCCGCAGGACACCCCGGCCCTTGGGAAGCAGCTGTGGCACCGCGGGGCGGGGAAGGAGCTGGCAGAGGGGAGGACATCGCAGAGAACGCGGACCTGCCGCCTTCGGGTCAGCAACACGAGTGCTCCCCCAGGCTGCCGTCCTGCCGGCCCTCCGGAACATAAACCCGCGACCTGTCAGAGTAATGGGAAATGGACCTGCTGGAACGAATTTAGAGCACAGCGTGCGTCCAGCATTCCAGGTCGCTTTTTGTCAAAACTCTCCAACTTGGGCTTAATTTCATACTGTGTTTAAAAATCTTTAGCAACTGAGTTGCCAGCATCTCCAGAGAGAGATTTTCAGTGTCATTTTATTTGTAGTTGACAACAGCCCCTTCAAATCGCTAGAGTCAGCACCAAGACTGTAAACTGCAGTTTATGTCCCACAACTTTCAGTGCGGAACAGCCATTTTTTAAAGGCTCCTTTTTTCCCCTTGTTTTATTTCTTTCTTACTAGTTACTTTCGGTGCTAAGGAACTGGGCTTATATATACATTTAGAAGAGCTGCAATTCCTTCTAAGAAGAGAAGCTTATGAAGGAGTGCAGCTTACCTAAAATCTATTTTTTTGTTTTGTTTTGTTTTTCCAATACTGAAAACATGCTTTCTCATTCGACTCACTTAGGTTCTTATGATAACAAGTTGTAATGACCAACCACATACTGAAGCATAAGACTGAAAACAGAGACACAGATTCTAGTTACAGCTGTTGTGGATTTTCCATGTGTCTATATAAAAGCGCAACAACTTCTATATCTTGCTAGTAAAATGAAGTTAAAATGCCATTTTAATGAAGAGAGGTGTCACAAGTGCCAGAGCAATACAGTTCGAAAAGTCCTTCAGTTCCTTGAAGGGTAGCTGCTCTTCTAGTGCAAAGTCTACCCCTACGGTCAAGTTCATGTGCCTGAATTTGCAGCCCTGTTTGCCTCTCAGCCCAGACAGTTCTTCAGAACAGCTCAGGCAGCTCCACGCTGAGCAAGGCGGTTTTCTGGAGCTGTTTCTAGGTATCTAAGACTGAGTGGTGCCTAATTCAGGCTAGACTGCCCCAAAATTAGATTCTGCAAAGACAGGGGTTTTTTTTATATAAGGGGTTATCTAAAATAATTAGTGTTTTGATTGTTTTACACAGATTTTTATGAATATTTTTTCAATCCCAATCCATATTCAAATCACCTCTTAGGTCACCAAGGAAAATGAATTTGTCACGTTCTGAGATGCAATTTCTTTGTGCCAGAACTCCTCTGACATCGCATGCATCCTCTCCAGGCTCCCCCAAGGAGACCTTCCCTTTCAAGGAAGGTCAACAGTCTTTCATCTTCAAAGGCACTTAAGCCCATTCAGAGTTTGCCAAAGCAAAACCACCACTGAACTCCAAGTGTTTTCATGAGTACACTGTAATTCAGTGTATATTTCTAACCTCCTGTTGTTAGGGGTGAAATTTTAGCTCTCCATTTAGATGTCTCTATGTGAGTCAAAAAAAACTCACAGTTGGAAAAATGTAACAAGGTCAGGTATCAAAAATAAGTATGCTACTCATCATGCCTCAGAAATGACCCTGAATGTCTATGCCCGCTTTTACACTAATGCATTACATCTGAAACAAGGTTCCTCGTCTTCACTAGTGTCTCAGGGCACCTCCTCACCTGGCTGACATGTGGTGCCTTGTCACCCATCAGAGAAGGTCAGAGCACTGGGCAGCGCTGCCTAAGGGATGTCCCAGTCCCTTTCACACTGTATCTATGTGGAAAGAAGTGGTTTAGCTCTCCCTCACTTACTGAGGGCGGGAAATGGCTCTTGACAGGGGAGAAGGCTGGGAGAACCTGCAGTCCAGCGTTGGTTGTGCCATGGCCTGGCCATGTGGTAGGGAGCGAGAATCTTAAGTTATTTCGCTTTAACTTTGGGTCCAGATGTTTGCTTACGAAGAACAGCTTACAGGCCTGGGCCCTTCGGCCAGTGCGACTTCCTCACTATTAACTTAAGATACCAGGGTCTGTCCTACATGTTGGAAGGGTCTATGGATGTAAGGTGTTTCAAAGACATGTGGCATGAGGAGTGCTAATCCAAGTTCTTCTGTAGAACCAAATCTGAAAACCAAAGGAAATTACTCACATGGGAAGTTTAAGAGCAGTTTCTTTTTCACACGCCATCAATCTAGCACAACTTGGGGAGGAATACTCTGTATCAAGTGCTATTCAGCCAGCTCAAAAGCAAGGGCTCTGGATGCCATCCATCCACTTGGTAATTGTCTCACAGAAACCACGTCATCAGAAGGGCTCTCTTAAGGATCGCAGCAGAAGGTAGGAACCTCAAGCACTCGTAAAACCTGGGCTGTCGCACAGCTTTGCTCCTTCTTTTTAAAGTAAAGAGACATGAAATTTTGAGTGGCTACTGTTCAAAGGACCATTAAGATGTTTCATCCTGCAAGTAGCAGCAAGGACTTTGGAGCTCCAGTTCCCTGCGGGATTCAGATCCCACTGAACTTACACACAAAATCAATAGCTCTCTGTAAGGTTCGTTTGTGTATTTTGGTAGGTCTAACCTTTTGCATAATACATCACCAGGAGAAATGCGGCCTGTTCCATACTGGGAAAGCTCTGGTATAAATACATCACTAGCTCTTTTTCTCCTGAATTTGAGTGTCAGTTGTAAATCAAACTTTATTTTTCCATGCAAATATTCCCAACAGCTCAAGATTGTAACTCAAACTTTATTTTTCCATGCAAATATTAATATACATGTACATGAATAATCATGTACAACAAACCAAAAGTCTGAAGCACCTAAGCACATAAACCACGAGTATCCCCCGTTCCAATTCTGGGTTCCCCAGAACTAGACATGGAATAAATGGATAGAGCCTAGCGGAGGGCTATGGGGAAGACTGAAGGATTTAAGCATCTCTCTTAGGAGGAAGGACTTCAGAGAGCTGGGCCAGTTTGGCCTGCAGAAGACAGGGAAGAGATCTTATCAACGTGTACAAGAAGTGTCTTAACGGAGGCTGTCAAGAGGATGGGGCCAGACTACTTTCAGTAGGACCCAGTGACAGAACAAGGGCACAAAATGAAGCACAAGAAATTCCATCTGAAGGAAAAACTTCAAGACCGTGAGGGTGACAGAGCCCTGGAACAGGCTGCCCAGAGAGGCTGTGTAGTCTCCTTCTCTGGAGATCTTCCAAACCCGACTGGATGCCACCCTGTGCCACGTGCTCTGGGTGTCCCTGCTGGAGCAGTGGGGTTGGACTAGATGATCTCTAGAGGTCCCTTCCAACCTCAACCATTCTGTGAGTCTGCGATTTCAGGGAACCTCCTACCTTCAAAGACAGCACTCATAAAAATATAGGACAAGCATGTGGTAAAATTGTATCTATTAGGGTTTCACAATATATTTTGGTGGAACAGAATAAGACAGCACCAGCCTGTTCTTTTAGGTGGAAATGTAACAACTTCTGCCACGAAAATAATGTATACAGTCTTAAAGGAAAATAAAAATCTGCTTTGAAAGCAACACCATTCAGAACTCCAGCTATCTTCTAGAATCCTTTCCAGCTTTACTGATCTAAACATTGTTTCAAAATATTGCTTCAGAATAATAACCACCTTTGAACCTCAGCAGCTTTAAGAAGAAAACTTCCGGAACACTGGAATATAGTTAATTTATCTCTCAAATTTTTGTATCAGTAAAAGAAGTTAAACCATACTAGATATAATTACTCCTTGAAATTATGAAGGAGCATTAATAACCAAGGAGATTAAAGTGTTACAAAGGTTTTGCAAGGAACCTACCTTTTAAAAAGCTCCTTCATATTAGTAAACAAAATTAGTTTTCAGACGGTTTTCAAACTGAGCTTTTCCTCCTCCTGTTTGCTTTATAGAGCATCACATTCATTAACATGATTAACCTTGTGGTGAAACAGGCAAATATTCAAAGTTATTTAAAGACATTAAAAGAAAAAGGTAGGTAGCCTCTTAGGCACTGTAACAATTCCCTCTTGTCATTTGGTTCCCCAATTCATACCATTTAGGTGCATTAGTGCAAGATCCTGCTGTAAGCACAGTGTTTTCCATTTACTCCAACAGCTACTGATATCAGTTCTCAAATCTTTTTCTTCATCATACAGGTTTATTTTTATCAAATGCACTTCTCTTGATTTTCCTAACCTAGTTAATAAATCCACCCTTTTAACCATAAAATGAGCTATTCCCATAGCACATTTATAGAAATCAAAATGATAAGAAATAGATTTTTCTTAGGACACTTATTTAAATGAAAAATGAGTTTCTCTTTTTGAAGTCCTTTGTCATCAACAATGTTCTTTTAAAAACGTTAAGAACTTACTCACATGAGAACTCATTGATGATAGCTAAATATTCACCTCCCCACGTGAGAATTATCTTGGAGGTTAATTGTCACATTTCATTACCATTTATTATCATACATGCTTGCCAGATAAGGACCGGGACATTGTAACCTATACGGGAGAACCACCTGGGAACACAGAATTTAGGCCATGGATTTACACAGAGACCAAAAGTATTGATAACTATTAATTCTGCAGTATTTACATGAAGATGGTAGGATGGAGCTCAAAAAGTACCATGAAGAAAGCCCTAATCACACTTATTAGGTAAGTATTACTATCACACTTTCTAGTTCAGAAATGGTGAGGTGAAAGAAAGTAAATTTGTGACTATCTTCATAAAACGTCATGTACCTGACAGCTACATAAAAGCTCAGTTTTAAGGTGAAAGCCCTTAAAACAAGAACAGTCCCTCTCCACATACCTGGGAAAGCAGATTTTTGCCCATCAATGGCTAAATATAAATGAGATTTTTTTTTTTGGGGGGGGGGGAGTGTTTCTCCATCTTGCAAGGGGATTCAGGAAGAATTCAGAAGATACTAGATATACAAATGTGCAGTCCATGGACTGCACAGGGTTGTGAGAGGGGATTGAAGAAAGTTATAACTCCTGTGATATTGAAAAGCTTTTTAGTTGATAAATGGGACTCGACCAAAATAAAGCACACTGAGCCTTCTTCCAGCACTTCATAGCATAGGCTTTGAGCAGTTCTACTACAGCTGATCCTTTTTAATATAATGGTGGAAGTATCTCCACCTGGTGGCTTTTTGTGTGTGTGTGCATGTACGTACGTGTACATGTACGTACTGAAAAGCATATATTGGGCAATGCTTAATTCTCCCTAAAAATATAGAAGTAATACATCAATTTTTTAGATCATCTGGACTTCAGGTATGTTGGTGTAGTTATTTCTTTGAACTTCAAAGACCTTTATGCTAGCTTTCCAGTACTGAAGTATTTTGTCCATGTTTAGAAAAGCATAGAAAGAAAACTCACATTTTTTAGTTATTCCAATTCTACCTTAAAATAAAGCTATGCTGTTAAAATGTTTCCAGCTTAATTTTTCAACTTTCCCATTGAAGTTAGTTCTTTTCTAGACCAAGAAAATACTGCAAGTAAACTACAAATTTCAAAGTGCTGCTGGAAGTTTTAAGATCCTGGTGGAGAGAGATTTTATAGCTTGTTCTTACTACAGTTGGTGACAGTGCAATACCTAGTGATTTATGTCATGAGAGGAAAGAAACAGTGGTGAAACTGGGATGTGAGGTAGCAGTACCTTTGGATTTTCAAGCTATCATACGGGAGCATTTGAAGCTGCAGAGCAGAAAAAGCAGGAACTGAAGTATTCTCTAGCACAAAGCTCAGAATACACACAGACTGTGTAAAACAGTTCAGAGAATTTTAATATGCCAGCAGCCATCTATATGACTAAATTATGGCTATCTCTGTGACTACACATCTGCACACTCCTACATAAACAGGATTCACTGAAAAATTGAGTCACCCTCTGTACCACTAATCAGAAATACAACTTCAGTTATTTTTAGCATTGTATATGAGCAACCGTGTACATTGGGGTATAAAAGACTCCAAAAAATGCATAACAGCACATCTCAAAGGAAGTATTTTATTAAGTTGCTTGATTTCCTGCTCTTGTTGGTATGAGCTTTCTTGGTGCTGAAATGAATCTAGTGTTAACGTCAATGGACACTTCACCTGTTACAATGCAGAGACCAGTTTTGCTCTGTCTCCCCTTTTTCAACTTAAGCTGTTGATTGCTTTCATCCTGTTCAGTTAACCTTAGTATCTCTGCTGGTATCTCTGGGAAGTCTACACATGAACCTGTTGTTGGATGCGATCTTCTGCTGTGTGTTAAAAAGCTCAGCCTAAGGCTTTTAAGCATAAGCATTTAAGGCTCTGCTAGCCAGCAAGCTATGGACCCTGCTACTCTCAACAGCCCTCTTGATATCTGCAGCTTCTCGCATTTTCCATCTCACCTAACTATTCTCTTGCCAATCCCCCTTTTTCACCCTTTTCTACATAATACCACACCATATGCTTTAGTCAAGCGGCACAAGCACAGCCTAACCTGTGTGCATTTAAGAATATCTCATCTTTGCTTACTACCCAGATCAGACTCCCGAATCTTTCGCATATTATAAAGCTTAAATCTGCACAAAGTATTCTGCTGGCGTATTCGTAAGCATCTGCATCGCAACGTAGACAGAAATGTTCTCCTGAATAGGTTCACAGAGTTCCCCGCCACCACAGAAAACTCCCCTGCACAGCCTCCTCATATGCTGTTTTTGCTCCCACTAATTTCATGGAAAAGCTGTTTCAGAATGTGATTTCACTACTGACTATAAACATTATTTTAATTTACAAACTAAATTTATTAGTAAATAGTATGTATTTGTTCTTGTGCCAACCTTGTCCTGCAAATTAAATGGTTTTCATCCCTCATGTTTGCTTTCCTGCTATATTTATAGACAGCACTCACAGCCCCCCTCTTTGTTTTATTCAAGTAAACAAGCAGAGCCTAGTCTATAATCTTTTCATATGAAAGGCTCTCAATCCCTCCAATGATCCTTGGTTAATTTCTTTACCTTTGTTTCCGCTCAACACTTGTGACTTATTTAGAACTACAGAAAAATTGCTTAGAAATGATCACAGTCCCCAACGAAATCTCAACAGGGTCTTAAAAGAAAAAAAGAACTAAAATCTCCCTACTTCACCCAGAAGCACATCTCCTGAAATGTTCTCACTACCAGATTTCATCAGCATGTTCTTACCAATTGCACCAGGGATAGCAGGAAAATATTAATGATCCCCAAACCAGCCTTTTAACTTCTTCTTGTACAACCTTAACTGTGGCTATCTCACTTAATGGTTTCTACCCTAATTTCCATGTTCTCATGCCTTCCCAGGTGATACGATATCAAACACTTTCTTGAGGTGTTTTTTTTTTCTAGATCTATATATCTGTGGTAAACCTCTCTTTTCTAAAACTTTGCATGCAATTTAGACTTGACCTACAGGTCTGTGGTTGGCCACATCACTTTTCTCTTTTTAAATATTGAGCAATTACAGCTCAGTTTCAGCCCACTTAAGTTTAAACCCTGGGCTGAGAGACAGGGACACACAGGGAGCCGTTCAAGACGATTTGCTCTCTGTAGATGCCTCTTCACCAGTTCAGCACATACGCAGCACAACACTCTTTTGTAACCTGCTTTTATTATGTAGAAAAAAAAATCAGGTGATGCACCTATTTTAAGTTTCAAATTACTCTAAAAGGTAGTGACTCCCCTGAAGTTGCCTACAAATGAATTTAAGAGAATATTTCCTACTGTAAAGCTTGAAAGAGGTGAAAGATAGGATTTGAATATTTACTCCTTTCATGACAATTGATGCCTTAGAAAAAATATGTTAGTAATAACTAGAAAAAATGCTTCTACATAAAGACTTATGGAAGAATTTGGGAGAGGGGAGGGTTTTCAGCACTTCCACTTTCAACACTGTGATCCTTTCCCTGAAAAAAA